CATAATCAATGAAACACAGATAGACATTCTTCTGGTATTCCCTGCTTTCAGCCAAGATCCATCTAACATCAGCAACGATATCCCTAGTACCACGACCCCTTCTAAACCCAGCCTGGACTTCCGGCAATTCTCTGCTGATGTGCTGTTCTAATCGTTTTTGGATGATCTTCAGCAGAATCTTGCTTGCATGTGGAATCAATGACACTGTTCTGTAGTTTCCACACTCAGTTGGGTCACCTTTCATTGGAATGGGAACAAATATAGATCTCTTCCAGTCAGTTGGCCAAGTGGTTGTTCTCCAGATTTCTTGGCACAACTTGGTGAGCACGTCCAGGGCAACATCTGTTATCTGAAATACTTCAATTGGTATACCATCTATTCCTGGGGCTTTATTTTTTGCTATTTCCTTCAAAGCAGCTTGAACTTCTTCCTTCATCACCATAGGCTCTTGCTCATATGTTGTTTCTTTAAATTCCTCTGTATCTGCCAATTCCTTTCTATATAATGACTCAGTATATTCCTTCCATCTTCTTTTAATACTTCCTAGATCATTTAATATTCTGCCCGAAGCATCCTTGATTACAGCAACTCTAGGTTTATCTGACTGGTACTGGAGGAGATTATCCCTCCTTCCTCGGCAGAGCATCTGGTGGATTCGAACCGTGTGTCTCTGGGATTGTAGTTGCAGCTCCTTACCACTAGGCCACCAGAGCTCCCCTACACTTTGGTTCTAAACCTATTTAATCTGCCATCCTCCAAACCTCAGACTTTCATTGTTTCTACTTTGGTTTTAGTTCTTAATAACCTTTTTCCCTACAATCATCTTTTTTAGCCAAAAATCTGAAAATACAGAATGCCGGCTTTCTTTGACTATCATTGCTATGAGGTTGATACTAGTTCTCTTCTATTTGCTTTATCACTTCTTTTTCCAGAGTATGATTCTTTCCTTCATTGAAATCAAAGATGATGTTTAAAATGGCCTGATGTGGGTGGGTTATAAAAATATTTGCGTTTTCAAAGAAGCTAGAGTAAGTACTCAGGAGCCACCATTGGTTAAGGAGCCCCAGTAGCACGGTGCCTAACATGTCAGACTGTTAACCGAAAGTTTGGCAGTTCTAACATACGTGGTGCTCCTGAGAGGAATTTGGGTAGTCTCTTCTTGTAAAGATTTGCTATTTCAGAAACCCAGTTCTGGTGATTAAAAAAACAAAACAAAACAAAACAAAACACACAAAACAAAAAACCACAACACCCCAAAACCAACCAACCTCAAAGTAAAAAATACCACCCCAAAACCAACCAACCTCAAAGTCAGAAGCAACACAACTGACACTCTGTTTAGCTTTCAAGGCTGTAAATTACATGGGAGAAGAGTGTCCATTTTTCTTTCATCAACATGTTGGTGGATTTGAACTGGCAAAATGCTTTTAAGTTAGCCAGGCAACTCTCTGTGGATGATGTTTCTAGAATTCCCTTCAGAAGTGGTCTGAATAGGCAGCTAGTGCCCTCAGGCAGGTGCAAACATTAACTAACTCACGAAATAGTTACCATCTTTGAGAAGCACTGTTTAAAAGAAGACTTTTGTTTTTCTTTTCAAGGAGAAGAGTGAATTGGGGGCGGGGGGCCAGGAAGAAAAGTGCAGCAATGAATGGTTTGAAACCCTAAGTCTCTGTAAACTTTCAGTAAAAGTAATACATTTTTTTAAAAAAGCTTCCAGATGATAGTCATTGGAAGAAACAACCCAGCTTAGATGTTCTAGAAAGGTCAAGCTAATCCATCCCTATTTTCCTCCTTCATCTTCCTTGACACTAGCGGCTCTTGTGGCACTTTATCTCTCTGATCCTAACTACCCAGACTTGAGTCTCTACAAGTTAGAATACTGTCCTTCTAGCCCCTGCCAACTAGACAAACATCACCCTCTCTTCTGGCTCCCACTGACCCTGGTGGGTTTTGATAATTTGCTAGGATGAACTCACAGAGACTATCTATACTTTGAATTGTTGAGTACTGTCAAGTCAGAACCGACCCATCGCTCACCCTTCAGCAGATTTCAGAGGTAGTAAATCGCGTGGGAGGAGAGTCCCCATCTTTCTTGTGCAGAGCAGCTAGCTGGTGGATTCAAACTATGGACCTTTCTTTGCACTGGCAGTGTGGTTCTTTACCACTGAGCCACCAGAGCTCCCTGTACTTTGAATTATTATTGTTGTTGTTAGGTCTGTCAAGTACAACTCATAGTAACCTTACTTTTTAAAAAAAGCCAACCTGAACTTTTCCCTATACTGTGCCATCCTCATCATCCCTGACACACTAGAATCCATTGCTGAAGGCACTATGTCAGTCCTTTTTGTTGGGTCTTCCTTCCTCTCCTTTGCTGATCCCGATCATTTCAAGTATGGTATCCCTTTCCAAGGAATAGCCTCGCCTAGCCACATGACCAAAGTATAAGACGAAGCCCCACCATCCTTCCTTCCAAGAATCACTCCGGCTGCATGTAGTTTCCTGTTTAATCATTTATTTATTATAACGAGAAAGGGTACAGCAAAGAGCCTATCAGGCGGCGGGGTGGGGGGTGGGAGAGGTCCTGCTAACACAAAGCATAATAACACAAAGGATAATGACTTATCAATAGAAGTCATTGGGGACCTCTGATATTCATACATGAATCAATGTGTTTGTGTGATTGAGTCCATCATGCCACCTCCATTGCTGTCATTTGCTGCCAGTCTGAGGCCTATACAACCTTACCCTTAGCTTGTCTAGATGTTTGCTTGACGATTTTAGAAAACAAAGGAGATCTTTGATTCCTTGAGAATTTCAAAGGTTATTTTCCAGAAACCAAAGACTATAGAGTTTTTTATCTTGCAGCATCTTTCTTGAAAGATTTACGAGCAGTCGTAGGGAGCTCTGGTGCGTAGTTCATAGGGAGTTGCACTGCTAACCCATAGGCATTTTTGGCAGTTCAAATCCACTACCAGCTTCTTGGAGAAAGATGGACAGTCTCCTCCCATGCCATTTACAGCTTCAGAAATCTCTTGGAGACTCAGCTGTGAGTTGATTCAGACTTGATGACAGAGGAGTTGATTAAATAAGGAAGGAATCTTGGTGACAAAATGTCTAGGCAGGCTGGGACTTGACGGCTAGGTTTGTCTAAGGACTGCTAACCAGTCATACCTTGGAAAAAGAACCTGGAGATCTGCTCGTATGTAAAGATTCCCAAACCCAATCCACTGCTGTTGAGTGGGTTTACAGTCCTAGCAACCCTCCTGTAGGTTTCCAAGGATATAAATCTTTATGGGAAGAGTCTGCCCATCTTTCTCCCACCGAGCAGCTGGTGGGTTTGAACCTACATGTAACACACTGCATCACTCAAATTTCCTTTACAAAGATTACAGCCTTGAAACATTTTATGGGGCAGTTCTGCCTTATCCCACAGGGTTCCTGTGAGCCAGAGTCAACTTGAGGGCATAGAGTGAATCCATAAATCATGGTATAAACCCGCTCTTTATTATGTACATAGATTCTCTGGTGGGGGTGGTTCACACAGACTGCAAGCTGAGACAGTTTATCTCTGCACGGTGATATCTGGGGCTGGAAGGCTAGCTAGAAGACAGGGTGTAACTTGCTGGCTGAACACTTGACTGGCCCACAGGTGCTGGCTGTCAGATGGGATCTGACTTGTGTTTCTGGATAAAAGTCTTAGCAGTAAAATGGACCCAGGATTAGGAAGGATTGTGAATTTGGTTTGGGACACATCGTGACTTTTTGAGACAATTTTGAGATAGTCAAGAGAACATAAATACTATAGGCAATTGAATTTATGGGACTGAGACTCAGAGAAGAAATCTAAAATAGAGATAGATGTTTTTGGTCCATCAACAGATGGTAAGTAGTGGAGTACTGAAGTGTGCATGAAATTGCCCAGGAAGATAATCTGGAAAGGGAGGAGAAGAGGGCCTAGCACTGGAATCCCCAGTTTAGGGGGGATTCTAATATATGCTGAGCTCTGATGGCCTAATAGGAAAGGAATTGCATTGCCAACCCAAAGGCAGGAAGCTCAGATCAACCACCTACTCCTTAGCAGAAAGATGGGCGGTCTACTCCTGTGCAGTTCACAGCCTCTGAAAACTCCCTGGAGGACCAGCCAGGGGTCAGTTCCAAATCAGTGACAGTGACTTGAATGAATTGATTGAGTGCTAATCAGAAGAGAAAGGATGAGCAAGAACGAGAGACAGAATAAGAATAGTCTGATTCATTGGAGAACAGAAAAGTGTTCTCTTCTGGGAACTAAAGGCAGGCATTTAAAGAACAGATAGTGGATGCAAGGTTAGATACTCCCGTGAAATAAAGTACTGGCTGAAACATGCCTGTTGGATTTAATGATATTTAGACTTTGGTAGTGATGTGAGCAATCTCTTTGGGGGAATAGTTTCCAACTGACATCAAATTTATTCCAATTGATAGAGACTCCATGTGTGCACAGCAAATTCTTCATTAGGTTTTCAAGGCCTAGACCTTTGAGAGCAGATAACCAGGGGGTAAGGGAGAAAGCACATCACCATCCCTATCTTCTGAAGTGCCTCTGAGTGGATCTCATCAGCCTTAACTATTTGTGCCACCCAGGGGCTCCTTTCTGGAGAGTAGAGACTCAGGAATCCACATTGATGTTGTGTATGGAGTGAGTGACTGATGTGAAGATGATAATAGCAAAAACAACTAACTCTTGTGAGAAATTAATACCTTCAGTGGAAAAAAAAAGATGAAAGTAGATTTGATACTATGTGAAAAATAGTTTCTTTTTGAAGATGAAGTCACCCTTTGAAAAGAGAACAGATGCAAAAATGATGAAAGTTCTTAAGATTTCAGATAATTTTTTGAAACATATGATAATGAGAAATAAAACTGGAATATTTATTGATATTACTAGCTGCTGTTGATTAATTTTATAAAAATTTACTCATCACTAATTAGTTATGCTTTTTATCCTAATTGCTTTCTGTCAGAAGAATGATGAAAATGGAAACTGCTCAGGAGAAGGAATTGAATTCCCTACCACAAATTTATATGAACTGGAAAGCCGTGTTTTGACTGATCACTGGTCCATCCCTTACAAGCGAGAGGAATCACTAGGCAAGTGCCTGCTGGCGTCCACCTACTTAGCACGACTTGGTAAGTTTTCAGGCCTTGGATCCCACGAAAACATCTTTTGATGAGAGGCCTGAGTTTAATTCTAGTCCTTTCACTGCCTGTCTCTAATCTTGGGTAGATCATTTAATCTCTTTGTAGCCTGGAGAATAAAAGCTTTGAACTAAATCAGCTGTTTTCTTCTAGCTCTAATAGAGTGTAAACTCTTTAAAATGAAATTGAAAAGCTTTTGTAGAAATTGAAATTTACTTTTCTGCAGAAGCTTGGGGGCACTTGAAATTAAAGCTTAATTCAGTAGCTTAATCTTTTTTTTAAAGCCGAAAAAATATTTAACAAACATTTTAGTGCTTATTAAAGAACCTGAGTGTCATAAATGCTTTATATCTATTAAATTAATAAAGTAATAAAATAATAACTAGGGTAGAAGCATGTATGTCAATATTCTATGCTATATATCTATAAAGGCAAAAGTTACTTGTCATGCTGATTTCAGTTATAAATTGAAATGAATTGAGCCACTCTTACAGGTTTTTTTTCTATGTAAAGTTATGCATAGTTTACCATCATGATTAAATGAGACACATTAAATGGAAATATTTTGACCTACATTGGATTTCACTGTACTCCTTTATTGGGTGACTATTAGCATTGAGGAACTGCCTTAGGCATTGAGTCTGAGAAAGAAAAAGTGTTCAGCATAATTGTTCCCAGGGATAAGAAAAATTGTTACTGAGTCTTTTAAAGAAAAATGCATTACTTCCAAAGGACACTTTTTTCAGTGGATTGATTAATTCATTTGCTATTTATTTAATCACTTAGTGCATACCCAGGCACATTTGTGTATATTTATTACACAGAGTTCGTCAATTTGTTTTAGGAAAAGAGAGTGATTTTGGCATTTATTGAAAATATTTGTGTTTTTATAGAGCTGTTTAGGAGAATAATACTGGCTACCAAGTTGCTGCTGGTGGTGCTTTATTAGCAATTTAATTAGTTCACTGAAGTTACTCTGGCATGGAAACATAAAAATCAACCATTTCAGTTCTAATGAGTATTTACTTAGTCTAACTAAGCCTGTGGTGGTTTTTCAGCTGACTCCCTCTCTAGAAAGCTTATATTCTGCTTTAAAGAATTATTGAAGAATCAAAGTTTTTATGATAGTTTCATATTTGTGAATATGAGTAATACAAATACTATTTCAGTAAAGTACTTCAAATCTAAGACATGTCCTTTCATTTATTTTACTAAGGTCTTTGTGAATCTGATGAGAATTGTAAAAGATTTATGGATAGGTGTATGCCTGAAGCATTTAAAAAGGTAAGAAAAATATCTAATGTTCTTTTTTTAGTGGGTGTGAAATTTGAGAAGTTTTTGTTTATGTGTGAAGCCATTTTATGAATCTTAACTGAGGAGTCCTCTACTATATAAAGCATCTTTAACTTCAGGGCTTATAATTTATTTGTTTCTATTCCATTGTATACATGTGTGTTTAGTTGAATATAACATTTTCCTATTTAATTGCAAAAAATAGCTTAAGACTTCATTATGTTGTTATGAGTCTTCAAGTTGCCTGCAACTCATAACGACCCTTGTGTATAATCTAGGGCTCTGTTTTGAGCCAAACCTATTGTCTTTGACACACCAACCCCCATAGCCCCAGTCAGTGAGTCAATCCATCCTATCCAGGGTCTTATACTAGGAAATTAATTACGTACACATCTTCACCTGCCCCCCCACCCCCCGACCCAGTTTTGTGTTTTATTTATGTGAGAAGTTCAGGCCTAGACTGCATAGTACCTCAGTGGGTACAGGCACCCTTTATGCTGCTGCTGCTGCTGCTTGGTCTTCAGGTTCTCGTGCTTGTTGAGCCTTTGGCGCATGGCACGTTTTCTTGGGCCTCAGATCCAGGGGTTGTACTTCTTGCCCTTATGATACTTTCTGAGGTTCTCCTTCTGAGTCTGGTTGATAACAGTGAGAACAATAGATTTGTTCTCATCTCCTGTGGGCAGTGGATTTTCGGACAAGTTGGATTTTGGAGATCTTGGAAGCCGCAGTAACAGTCACTCTGGTAACGCACAGCTCAGAACTTCGGCCAGCTGTTTGAGCGGCCCCTCCTTGCAACGACAGTCCTGAGCCTTCATTTTGGCCGTGGTTGAGCAATAGAACCCTCTTACATATACGCTTTGAAAGATATTAATTGTTTCTCAAAATAAGAGCCAATTTATACTTATAAGAAAACAGAAGTGGGTGTTTAAACTACAGAGTGTTTTTTGACTGGGTCACATAGAGGTAAAGACCTTTTTTTAAATTTCACATTATTTTTATTTTTTCATAATGCTTTTGCACTTTAAGTAGGCTGCTGGTAATATAAATATAGTTTTATATCCATTGAGAAACCAGGATATTTACATTCGTTTGGAACCAAATCCTTATCTCCAAGGTCGGCTTGTATTTTTACTGGTAAAAGGCTTGCAGTGTGTCTCTGTCAGAATTAGAGTCATATGCTTACCTTCAGCCTGTTACATCTTTTATAAAGCTTTGCACAGTAATTGTGTTTCTGAGAGAATTCTGACTGAGCATGATTCCTTTTTCAAAACATGAGTTTTGAATTCTCTCTCCAGCATGGAGCGTGTCAGTCATCGATACCATTCTTTTCTCCTGTGTGTAACTCCATAGAATGACCTCAGCCATTCTCTGCTAACTGAATGAGTTTCCTGCTGTTGTGTAACTTGTACTTTTTGACATCCATTTTTGTGTCATGTGCAGATAGTAAAAGTTTTTCTTGATCTTAAACCCCAGCAAAACAAATTGTCCATTTGTAAACAGTTGTTCCTATCTGCATTTTGGTAGGTGATTGTCCTTTCATGCAAAGTTTAAAAAAAAAAAAAAAAGAAGACAATGACATTTTGAAAAATTGTCACTTTGGGAAGGTGAATATGGAACCAAAGTTTATCTTCACTTTTGAGAAATTCATCCAGCAATCTGTAGTTTAAAATAGTTTTGTCTCTTTTTTAAAATAGTAAAACTTTATAATGCAGCATACCATTAAACATATCATAATATATTTTATAAACTTTTAGAGCAAAATATCATTTGCTCAGGTTAAGGGAAGGAACTTAGTAAAAGGAGAAAACTTTTAGGAAGCCCTTTATAAAAACAGTTCATTGTAAAGTTGCATATTTGGATTATAATATTCTCTTTATAGTGCTGTTTCAGATGTTTTATGTCTTCATCTGTTAGCAGCAGCTGATAGTACAATAAATAGTCTTGTAAAGAACTCTTGGTTTTATTTTATTTTCCCTATAAAACTGCTCAAGTATAAAAGTATCTTGGATTATGTTAGAAAAAAATTTTTTTAATGTAAAAATAAGTTAGGTTAAATTCTAAAAAAAAAAGTATAGGTTAAATTCTGTTAGCATTGAAATACAAAAATCTACTGCCTTCAGGTTAATCCCAAGTCATGATGACTTTAGGTTCTGAGGCTGTAAATCTTAAGAGCAACTGCTTTGTCTTTCTCCTGAGGAGTGGCCAATGAGTTTGAACTGCCCACCTTTCAGTTAGCAGCTCAGCACTTAATCTACTACACCACCAAAGCGCCTTCATCAGTATTTAGCACTAGTAGGAAGGTTCTCTCCCCACCAGTGATCTTTTATTGGATCAAAAGAGCTGTGTACCTTTTAAGCTAGGCTGCCAGAAAACTCGAGATTTTCTTTTAGATAGTGACATTTGCTTCCCTTAGCTTGCTACCTGGCATATATTATGGTGTGATGATCCTACTTCTGCCTCTCTTTGCCTTTGCTTATCTTAAAAGCTGCCTCAAAATATTTTTAGAGTAAGATTATAGAGAATAAATGTTTGAATGAATGCTTAAAAGGAGCTTCTCTCTTCTCCCTTCTCCACCTTTCACCTTCAGGCTAGCCTCGATTCTTTATTAGTATATGTCAACAAAGGGGGGGGAATCCTGGTTTAGTCATTAAGTTATGGTTATATTTTAAATCTTACGAACATTTTCTCAATAAGGATGTTGCCTGTTTGCCCACACTTCTTCCGGAAGGTAGACAGAACTTCATTTTTCAAAATATGAATGGAACAAAAAAGGTGTGACCAGCAGGAGCAGTGCTTAAATAAAACACATATCTTTTTATCCTTGCAACAGCATCTTGAATGTTAATCTTTTGCTTTATTAATTTGCAGACTATAGGAGGAATATATAGTCATTAAAATATGTTGCAAATATATATTAATGTGATGGTTTATATAAGCGCACCTTTTTTGCACAAATAATGCAGCTCACTGAATTTTAGAAAAATTTTTGCATGTGGCTCTGGAAGTTCAGCATCTTCTAGACTACCTTTTTGTTTGTTTGTTTTTTGTTAATGTTTCCCAGTGTAGTGGAGATGACATTTTTATTGTGCATTTTTATTTCCATTGAAAGGAAAAGCTCAAAGAGCATCTAAACTATTCTGTCAGCTTGTAATTATTTTATTAAGTGAAGTGCTTTGATTCTACATTCCGTGTTCTGGCTGCTGTCCCTCCATTAGTCTTCTCTTAGGACTAGAAGACTGGTGACTGGAGGAAACCACTGATGATGATTTTAGATTCGTCTCTCTGTCTGTTCTCTCTGTTTTAACATATCTAAAATGCTTTTGACTGTAAGATGCGCCATTTTTTATATTTATGCTTATGTTTAAGAAAAATAGCTGCTAAATAAACAATAGTGTAATACTTTATTACTTGAATGATTTTAGATTATCAGCGTATTTTTAAAATTTGAGTGTTACTATTTTATATATACAGAAAATGAAAACAGAAGGGAATTATTATAAGGCATTTCTAGAATTGAATGAAGATCTGTGGAGGTACAGTGGTTAACAGCTGCTGCTTGGAAGGTCAGTGGTTTAAAGCCACGACAGCTGGGAGGAAGCTGGTTGTTGAGGACCATTGAGTTGGAACCAAAGCATGCTGACCCGCAGCAGATTTACAGAGGTGTTTAATCGCAGAGTAGGAAACTGTCCATCTTTTTCCCACAGAGCAGCTGATGGACTTGAACTGCTTGCCTTTGGGATTGTAGCCTGGAAAATAGCTCTGTAAAGATTACAGCTTAGGAAACCGAACATGAAGTTCTACTCTGTTCTGTAAGGCCCCCATGAATTGGAATCGACTCAACACCAGTGGATGTAGGGTGTTTATAAAATGCTTTCCCATTTGGTCTGTCACATCTCATCACATCTTTGGGAAATGGGGAGGAATGAACGCTTCAAGGGTGAGATTTCTGAGCCACTGAAAGAGAGTAAGTTCATTATACACCTGGAAACAGCAGTACCAGGAATCCATCCCAGGTTTTTCACTTTTTCTACATTACCTGACCTCCCCTAGTAAAGTGAAAAGTAGAGGAACAAATGAAAATTCTCTTTTAAACAAAATGATTTAATGTAAGAAAATGAAAAATCATAAACTGTAAATAAATGAATAAATAGCAGTTATGGGTCTTTTAAGTAAGACCTGTACATCTTCCTCTACATAAAAATAATAACTGCATTAATCTCTTATTTGAGAGTGAACTGATAAACTGAAGACTTACTTTCTCTTTTTCAAGTTAAATTATAGCCTATCCTTTATTCAATACAAACTGTAGCCTGTCCTTTATGTTTTTTATAGCTCCTGACATCTAGTGCTGTTCACAAGTGGGGTACTGAAATTCATGAAGGCATCTACAACATGTTGATGCTATTGATAGAATTGGTTGCAGAGAGAATAAAACAAGATCCAATTCCCATTGGTCTCCTGAGTGTGCTTACAATGGTACGATATCTCTTAAATTAAGTATATTGAATTTGAATTTTCTTTAAAATACTTGCTGTCTTCTGTCTGATTCATAAATAATGAGGGATAAATTTTACCATTAGAAACATTAACAGGGGTTTTTTATTTATATTTTAAAAGCAGACAGTCATCTTAAGTTTCAGTTTGAAAGAAACACCTTTCTTATTTTAACATTTTCAGCTCATAGTTTTAGTCCATAGATTAAATTGCTTCCCCTTATTCTCCCTTATCATTCACAACTTGTATACTTTCCACATAGGATTTTCATGTAGTTTGGTTCCTGTTTTTTGCCCTACCATCTAATAGCAGCTTCATGGAGTAAAGCTACTCACCCATCTCGTCCCTCCTAATTTCTCTCTCGTTACCCGTGTTCCCCAGCTCTTCGTATGGTAGCCCTAGTACATTTGAAAATTTGACATCGTGATTCTTTGGATCACACCTCTCTTCCTGATACTTGCCTCAGCATAAACACTGAAAAGGACGGGAGGCAGTACACTGGTTGTTTGCTGCTCTGCATGAAGGAATAGGCGTTAGTGCCGTATTCTTGGAATATTACATTAATGAAGGAGGGAGTCCAAGGCTGTCTTTTATCTTCTTTTCTAATGCTAATATGTGTTGCTATAGAAATAGATAATAATAATGTTTCTCTGTTCTCTTGGAACCTAGGCTTTCAATCCTGATAATGAATACCATTTTAAAAACAGAATGAAAGTATCTCAGAGGAATTGGGCAGAAGTGTTTGGAGAGGGAAGTATGTTTGCTATTTCACCAGTATCTACTTTTCAAAAGGTAAGCATAATTTTTTCATCCTTTTTGTTAAGTAATGTATTGAAAGATTTCGTGTGCTCCAAAATTGACAGGTTACAACGGAAGAGTAAAACAACTTACAAAGAATGACAAATATTTCATATGACTCATAAAATTGCTTTAATAATTTCCCAGACATTATGTATTTTTCTGTAGCTGCTAACTAAGATAACAGAGAATGCTGTACACATGCAGTGATGTTGAATAAAATGAGATGTCATCATATGAATTCCCTGGCCTTTTTATGGGATTAGCAGAACCCGCCGCTCAGTGGATGCCCCAATTTCCTACAGGTGGTTGAGACACTGGAACACTTAAAATGACACATTTCACCTAAAGAAAACAATCCAGTAGTTAGTCTGTTATAGAATATTCTTTTATATATTATTAGCCTACAGACTTTTACTCTTTTCTAAGCCGACAACTAACATCTTTATTTTATATTTAAATGTCTTTTTTAGTGTGCCAAGAATTTTACACCCATAAAGAGTGCATAATTTTTTCAAATGCTGATTGGTTTTTGAGAAAAGGCTGAAAGAAGACAATTCAGTAAATAACTTGTCCATTCCTTGGGTGGGATAGGTTTAGTTCAGTCATGTATTGAACATTTACTATTTGTGTCTGGCATTATCTGGACTTTGAAAATATATACAAATACAGTAGTCTTTTCCCTTAATAACTATATAATTGCATTGCTGTCAAGTTAGAATCAACTCGTAACTGACTCTCAAGCAGGTTTTCAGAGGCTATAAACAGTACAGGAAGAGATTGTCCATCTTTCTCCTGTGGAGCTTTTGGATTTGAACCTGCCACCCTTGGCTTAGCACTACAACTCCCTATGGATTAGGTACCCAGAGCTCCTGTATACTCTTAATAATAAGAGTAATAACAGTCCTTGGTTCCTACCTTATGGTATGTTGTTGACTCACAGCTGACCCTCCCGTGGGTCTTCAGAGGCAGTATATCACAAGGGAGGAGATTGCCCATCTTTCTCCCATGAAGCAGCTGGTGGATTCAAACTCCTTGCCTTTAGGTTAGCTGCACAACTCTTTACCATTAAGCCACCAGAGCTCCCTAGCTTATAGTATTATTGTTGTGTACCGTAAAGTCAGAACCGACCCATAGCTGACCCTCTGGCAGGTTTTCAGAGACACTTAATCACAGGAGAGGAGACTGCGCTTCCTTCTCCCGTGGAGCAGAGGGTGGTCTCAAACCGCATGCCTTTGGTATTGTAGCACAGCTTCTTGCCACTAGGCCTCCACAGAGCTCCCTAGCTTATAGTATAGTGGGGAAATCTTTTTTTTTTTCCAAGAAATCCAAGAACTACTGTATACCATTTAGTAGTATCAGTTATTATAATATGATGTATGATGCTTTGAATTCAGAGAAGAGGATCTTGGAGCATCAGACATTTTATAGAGGAAGTAAGAGCTGAGTCAAAAGCCACTGAATTTGTTAAGATTTAATCCCCACGTCAGCTCTGTTACTTTAGGTACTGTTTTTAGCCTCATTGAGCAATACATCAGAATGAGAAAATGAGGCTCAAAGAGGTTAAATCACTTTCCCAAGAAAATGACCAAGACCATGTCTGGCTGCTGAAAGAACTGTGAATTTCAGCTCTGGGGTGAGCATTCTTTAACCAGATATCACATTGTCTCCTCGAGTATGACAGTCTTCCTTGCAGATTTATTGTGAGAATTAAATGACAACTGTATGTCAGAACACTGAACGAAGTTCATTTTCTCCTCCTCAGTTTACTTCAACAACAGAGAAGCAAAGAGTCAGTCTTTATTTTCTGTCATCATCACAAAGAAAGACTTCTCTTCTCCTACAAAGACCCTATATCTCCCCCTCTCCTGCCTTCTCAGCCCTTTCACTCTATAGCTGTTCTGTTTTCTCTTTGATATCCTCAATCTTTCCCAGTTTCTTAGGTCATTCTCACTAGCATGTGCTAGTATTGCACATCTTAAGAAATTCTGCCTTTGCTACCACTGCCCTCTTAGCACATTTATGGGGTCGTCTCCTTTCCTTTCACTAGACTTTACTTCCTCCCCTGGCCCCCTCCCAGTCATTCTTTGTATACTTGTCCTAAAAATTGTAACTTGAAGACTATCTATTTATCTTTAATACCTGTATCCTCCTGAGCAGTACATCAAAATATTTTTAATACCTTAGAATGTTTTGTGTGATCAACCTATTCCTGATTTATTACCTCGTTATCGTTGTGCATCATCTTACTCCTCCCCTATCTTTTTTGCCCCATAAAATGCAATTCATCAGGTTTTGATGTGGCCATATTCAGTACACTGATTTCTTTATGTACCATTTTATTCTTCACCTCTGACTTACCATTGGGATTGTTGTTCTTCCTAAAGTGCATCCTGTAACGTGTCTCTTAGTACAGTTGATTCCTTTGATAGTAATTCTTTATTTTCAATAGCCTGAATTTCATGTTATTTCCCATTTCTTGAAGAGTATCTTCTAAGTTCTGGATTGCCACCAGAGGAACTCAGGTGACCTTGTGGGTAAAGAGTTGCATGTCCAACTCAAAGGCAGGTGGTTTGAAACCACCAGCTGTTCTGAGGGAGTTCTGTCTCTTCTCGTGTGACTTACAGCCCCTTAAAAATCTGGAGGGTCAGCTGTGAATCACAAGTTCAGAAGTGATTGCAATGAGTTAAGTTTTATGAAATTGACATCTACTTTCTGGCAAAAAATAATAGTGATAGAGTTCTATACTCTCCTGTGCTTTTGCTGTCAGGAAGTCATTTTTAGTCTGCTCTTCCTTTGTAGGTTTATCTTTTCCCTTGGTTACTTTCTGAGATTGCCTCTTGTTTCCTTTGATGTTTAACAGTTTGACTCTTCTGTGAGTTAACCAAAGAGTATGCGTGGTTTAAATTTACCATGCTTCAAATTCACTGGGCTTTTTTGAGTCCAAGGATTAATAATGTCTTGTATCAGCTCTGAAAAATTCTCAACCATAATCTCTTCAAATATTATCTCTCTTCTTCAGCTTTGATTAGGTATATGTTAAGATCTTATTTTGCTCTCCACATCCATTAACTTCTTTTCATAATTTTTGTTTCTTTGTTTCCTGGTACTGCATTAGTGGAAAGTTTTTTTCCAGTCCATAATCTGTTTGACTAATCTTTCTTTTTTTATATCTAGTCTGTTAAACTTTTCCATTAAATCCCTAATCTCCATTACTGTGTTTCTCACCTATGTAAACTCTTAACTCTTTAAACTCTGCTTATTTTTTTATTGCCTTATGTTCTTAACACAACTTTTCAGTCCCACTTATTTTACACTTAATGTGTCTGATATTTGCAGGTCTGATTCAGTTGGCTTTTGCTTAATAATTATTTGTTTTGTAGTGTACATATGTGCATGTGTATATGGAAATAGACTTTGGTTTTCTGTGAGCTTACATTTCTTGGAATTTCATATAGAGGAATTTTTAAGCTTGAATAGAAAGTTCTCTCTTCCAGAAAGGAATTACTTTTACTTCTTCCAGGTACTTCGGAACACTTGGATATAGACCATGTTAGAATAGACCATGTTAGCTTGAGGCTTTTCAGACCATAGAGTCAGCATAAATTTTGGAATATTCAGAACCTAAGCACGCCCCCTAGATTCAGTCTCAACTAGAGATCATGAAGATATAAAGCCTTCATTCTGCTTCTGTCTTTTCTAACATCATCTTACCTCAAACACCCATCAGGTCTTCACTAATTACTGCTTTAGGTTTTTAACTGACTTCTCTTTGTCATTCCATTTTCCACATAATTGCAGGAGTGTTTTTAAAATATGACATGTACCAGTCAGATCTGATTTGACAGTACACTCACACAAAAATAATAAAATTTAAAAAAATTTTAAAAAAAAAGCAAAATTAAAAAAAAAATATGACATGTATTACACTCTTATTAGAAGACTTCCTTAAATTCCTTTATGATCTGGACTGTGCCTTGCCCTGTAACTTCATCAAACCTGCCCATTGGCACACCATGTTCAGCTGCAAAGGTTTTCTCAGTTTTCCCAAATATGGCACACTATTGACTATACTCTTTGAGGGGCCTTTTGCTATTCCATTTGTTTTATATGGGCTGCTTTCTGAATAATTATCTCTTCATTTAAACAATAGGGTGGCAATAGATGACCCCTCAGAAAAGTCTTCCATGCTCTCATCAACTGTGGAATGTGTCTTTTATTCTCTATTCAAGAGGACTTTTGTTATTAGTCTTACTCTAGGATTTAGGATTTTTGGAACTATATTCTGTATTGGCCGATTTACTTGTTTTTGTTGACCATGTTAGAGTATGAACTTCTGTCTTCAGAATCTTCTGTTCTTTAGGTGCTAAAATAGTATCCAGACCTTTGAATAAGAAATTCTCAGAAAAGACAAGAACAAGAAAAGAAGGGCTTGCCCAAGAGCCTTAATTGTATAACTGGGCTAAAACATTAACGTCTTATTCTTAATTTTCTATTCATTAGGTTAATAATTACTGGTTTCTGAACCATAACTTTGTCAGAGAATGTGATTCAAGTTGTCTTTTTCCTTGGAGAGCTTAAACAGCTGATCTCTGTTATCCAAAAATGCGTTAAGACACCTTGTGGTGCCAGTTCTACCAAAATGCACTCATAGGCTCCTAAAATAGTAATGTCAGAGACTTATGGTAAGAAATGCTTGGATTAACTTTTTAAAACTATTTTATAAAAATTTAGTATCTTTTCTCTGATTTTTATTTATTTAAGATAAAAGTTAATGTAAAGCTTTGGTGGCCTAGGCTAAGAAGCTGCACTGCAGTCCCAGAAGCACCTGGTTCAAATCTCCCAGGTCCTCTGCAGGAGAAAGATGCGCATTCTATTTCCATGTGATTAATTGCCTCTGAATACCTGTCAGAGGGTCAGTTATGATGCGGTTCTAGTTTGACATTATACAAAAACAACAAAGTTTTTATATTGCTAATTCATTGTCTGCTTTCTTTTCTTCTAGGAGCCTCATGGATGGGTTGTAGATTTGGTAAATAAGGTACATAGCTTTTATTTACTGTAACTTTTTATTGTGATTGATTTTCCATTCATCAGCTCATACACATTACATTTTATCACCTTGGTTACAATCCCCATGTTTCAACACTGTGTTTCCTACTTCCATTTAGTCCTTTGTCAGCCTTCTTGCCTACTGAGCTTTAGCCCTAGTCAAATGCTGCCCTTTTCATCTTCTGTGGTTGGCTGAGTGCATTCTTCTTGGTGCTGTTGATCACCATATAGGCATATCTGTTGTTCGAGTACACGTTGAGTCACGAGGATGATTAAAAGCCAAAGTCTCGGGCTTCCACTAGACTCTGTGAGACCAATAAGCCTGGTCTTCTGTGATTTTTAATTTTGTTTCATATCCAACTTATAATAATATAGTAAGTGTAAATTTGTTTCCATTATCATGTAGTTCTTGACTGGTGAAAATAATTAAGCACTTCACTACTAACCAAAGATTAAGAGTTCAAACCCCACTCAAAGACACCTTGGAAAGCAGGCCTGGTGATCTTGCTTCCAGAATGGTACAGCTTTGAAAACCCTGTGGAACAGTTCTGTTCTACACACAGGGGTCGTCATGACTTGGAATTAATCTAATAACAACAGTAATGAGATGTGCCAGAGCTTAGCATTTTGATGAAATGGCAGCTACAGAATAATCAATCTTTTTCTAAAGGATAAGTTTTCTAGTTTGTCTCTCTGTCTTGAATGCACTTTTTGTAAAGATACATATCAACTTTAGGACTTAGCATATCTCCTGCAGTATACCATAGGACAGTTATCTTCTTGATGATTCTATTGAGACCAAATGCTATAGAATATAGCCATCATGTGAAATATTACTCTTAAGTGGCTGGCTTAACTTATTGGTGTGTGACAAATTAATTTTGCCTTTTCCCTTCTCAGTTTGGAGAACTAGGTGGATTTGCAGCAATACAAGCCAAGCTTCATTCAGAAGATATAGAACTTGGGGTAAGTTAAACCACTGTATATGCCTGATGTCAAAGTTTGTTCCATAAATTGTGGATTTGCTGCCTGCTGCTGAAAGCCAGTCTCACAGATCTACATAGAGTATATAGCAAGGATTTTATTACATTTTGCTGTGTAGGAGACAGGATGTACTTTCCCAAGTCTACCTCCCTGGCCTAGATGCTGGAGATTTTATAGGGCAGGGACATGGGTTTCAGCTTGTTTACCTGGGAAATCTGTGTAATCTGGCCCCAGATAGTCTGGGTGATGGTTAAGTTCTGCTCATGATGACCAGTTCTTACTGTCATCTTAAGGACAGTTTGCTCCAAAGTGTCACAAGGAGTTTTTCATTGTTTTACTTTAAAGAAAGACAGATTAAGACTAATATTGCTATTATTACCACAAAGGGAGCTCTATTGATCTTGGTAAGGAGCTGTACCACCAACCTGAAGGCATGCAGGTCAAATCCACGAAGATGGGTAATCTCTTCTACAATTTGCTGCCTCTGAAATCCTGCTGGAGTGTCAGTTATGAATTGATTCCGACTCCACATTACATAATGTTATTATTCAGAGCTTCAGAGGGAAGTTAATTTTTTACTGTTAACTGCTAAACTGCTAAAGCAAGCAGGAAACAGAATTCTCCAGAAAGTACTTCAGTGTAGAAAACAGCTAAAACTAACACAATAGGGGGGTAAATTAATCTTATTCCCCCCAATCTGCTGTTATACACAGCAGCTACAAGTTCACTTGTGTTAGTTTCCAACCTAAGTGACACAATCTGGGTACCTCACATGAATTTAAATTATAAGTTCATCTTTACAAGGATAGACTTGTGGCTCTAGAAATAAACCTATACTGCCAAAAAGAAAGAAAAAAAACACACCAAACAGCCCAAAACAACTGCCACTCATAATCAAGAGGAACCCTGGTGGTGTAGAGGTTTACTCGGTGATCTGCTAAACAGAAGCTTGACTATTTGCACCCATCAGCTGATTCAAGGGCAAAAAGATGAAGCTGTCAGCCTCTGTTAAGATTTATAGTCTCAGAAACTTCATGGAGGTTTACATGACTTAGAATCCACTTGAAGGCAGATTAATCATCACATTTTACTGTACTTGGGTTTCTTTATGATTCTACTCTGCTGGTATTTGTCCCCTAATTTGTGATTACTTGAAATTATCTTATTTCCTAATGATAGTTGATATATATGGTGTGTATGTACGTTACAATTTTTTTCCACTCAGTTAAATGGTTATATAACTCAGCATTCATTTCATAATGTCAGGCACAAAAATATCTCATTTTGGTGAAGTGCATTAGTAAATGTTTTGACATTACAGACACACAGATAACAAAGGATGTAAGGTAGGAGCTTAGAATTATCTATAGCTGTTGCTATTACATTTTCGTACTAACTTCATTTTCTCAAAAAAATATACTTTGTAATAAAGGGAATAACTTTAAATCATTCAGTTTTCACAAACTGCTAACCTGTTGTAACTGAAACACTTTATTCTCTAATTCATTACTTACTCAGATACTGTTTGTTATCAATTCAGCACGTTTAAGATGCTTGTTAGCTGTTTGATCACAAGACAGTGTGGTGAAAGAATATACAAAAGTCATGCATTTTGTACTTAAAATAGCACTTATTTCTGTGGAACTATGATCAATTCCTTTAGTCCCTCTGGATGAGTGAAGTAACAGTGGTCAAGGACAGAGATTGAAGCCACAGGAATAGAATGACACTTTCTAGCCACCCATTTTCTATCCTTAAAGGTGAGACGTTTCCAGATCGTAGACTTTTATATTGGCAGACTTGTATGCCAGTGAGGGAGCCTTTTCTACTTTTCCTGGAAAAAAACGGATTGTGGAGCTGCTATTTTATACACCATTGAATGGATCAAGTTTGTTAGATGTTAACCTGGAAGCCACGATTTTAAAGGAAAACAAGTGCCTGTTCAGGTACAGGGCTGTTTGTTGTTGTTTTCCAGCTTGCTTCTTTAAATTCTACTTACTTTGCTGTTGAGAATATACGCAGGAAAACCACAGACCAGTTCAAACATATACCAGACACAGTTTATACATGTGTAATTTAGTGACATTAATTACATCTTTTGACTTTTGCAGCCATTTTTATCCTCTTTTTCTTGAGTTGTTCCTCCCCATGAATATAAATTAACTGCCTTCTAAAGTTTCTTACTAATTTTTCAAGTTGTTGTCATCTTGATCCCATACAAATTAACAAGTATAATACTCAAGATAGCCTTTCTTTTACTAGTTTTAAGAGGACTTCAGGGAGTATTTTTGGTCCAAGGTTTATAGATTATGTCAGGGCAACAGTTCCAGAGGTTCATCACCTTCCATGGATGCAGAAAATCTTGAGTCTGTGAGAATTTGAAATCCTTTCATTTCAATCAAGATCCTTCTATTTTGATGCAAGTGTTCAGTAATGACAAGTGGGCATAGTTCAGTGGTAGAGTATTTGAGTGCAGAGTGTTCAGTAATAATAGCCAGACACCATCCAGTTCTTCTGATATGATGAGAGGAGGCAGGGTTTTGTGGAGGCCATTAGCCACACATTCCCTATAGTTTCAGCATTTTTGTTTCTCAAGAATTGTGTAACAACATATATATCTTGCATCAAAAAAAAACCCTTGTAAAAAAAAAAATTTAAAAAAACCCTTGTATATAGAGGTTACTGTGTATATCTCAGAAAAAATTTTTTCTTTTAAAATTTTTAAAAGTTAAACTACTCAATTAATTCCTGTAAACTTAATTGCCATTTAATTTCCAACCGATTCCTGTAAAATCACAAATGTTACAGACTAAACCTTTCTTTTAGTAATCTTCACACCCCCTGTCTTTCCCAGAACATTACTATTTCTTGGCTGGGTTTGATAATTCATTGCAGTGGCCATCCAGAGCTCAAAAAAAAAAAAATACTCAGATGTATGTGATTTACTTGGGATGTTATTACTGTTAAGTGCCATCAAGTCAAGTATGACTCATAGTGACTCTGTGAAGAGCAGATCTCAACCCTTTCCTATCCTGTCCCACCCTCACACTCTCTGACACACCACAGCATATTGCTGCAGTTACTATGTCAGTATATGTTGTTTGAGATCTCTCGCTCCTTCATTTTCCCTCCACCTTTCCAAGTATGATGTCCTTGTCCAAGGAATAACCTCTCCACGCAAGATGCTCCATGTATGTGAGACAAAGCTTCACCATCCTTTCCTCCAAGAGCACTCTGGCTATACCTTCTCCAAAACATATTTATTTGTAGTCCATGGAATAATCAGTACTCTTCTCCAACACCACAGCTCAAAGGCATCAATTATTTCTTTTTTTTAAATTATTATTATTATTAAATTTTACTAGTTTTAATGAACATTTACAGAGATTTTGGGTTCTCATTCATTCATTGTTGCACTGTTTTCTCTACCCTCCTCTCCAGTTTGTTCTTCTTCCCCCCCCATGTCACTTTTAATTGTCCAGTTGCCACAGTGCTTGTCAAAGCCAGTTCTGATTAATCTCCTTTGTCAGTGTGTCCTTTGCCATTCCCTGTCACTCCTCCCTGAGAGAGACTTCACCCTGAGTCATAAGGAAAAGGGGATGGCGTATTCTCTTAGCTACTTCCTGCTGAAAAGGGATGCTGTGGGTTTCAGGGTGAAGATCTTCTCTCACTACTCTAAAGGGCCCCTTTGGCAGTAGGAAACACATAGACTATTATGGAGATTGATTTTGGAATTTAGATGCACTGTTATCAGTTGTGCTTAGCCGTACATGTTCATATCCTTGAAGATGTATCATGGAGGTATTGCAACCTAGAAGACACAAATTTAACTAGCAAGTTAAAAGTACATGAGTCAAAAATTAACAAGCAATAATATTCCGAGTAGAGGTTCTAGTAGTGGCACAAATCAAGTTACAGAGGGAAGGTGGTTCTTACAATAAAAGGCCTATAGACTAGCACTTTGTCTATTATAGTGTAGAGGTTAGGAACCAGAAGATGTAGAGGCTCAGCTATGTCATTTATGCTTCTTAAGTCCTGGAGCAAATTCCATCTACCACTGGGCTGTTTTACAACTCGGAAGTTCACAAGCAAGGCAGAGGTGAAGTAAGGAACTGGCTTATGAGGTTTTCCGTCCATTCCAACAACTAAGAGATAGTGAGAAGAGTTGGGACCTCAGAAGGCTTTTAGGACCAATATAGTAGGCTCTGTGTCCAGGAGAAAATGAATATACTTACCAGTAATGTTAATGCTCATCCACGGCTCTTCTGGGAGGATCTAAATCGCAATTATTTCATTCCTATTCATTGTTCAGCTCTCAGAAACATAGCTAGTGATTGAAAAGACTGTGACCTGAATCAGGCCCACCAACGGGTTGCAATTCCTGTTTGGAAACACTCAGAATATTGTTCTTCAGTTAAGATGACATCTTAGCATCTTTGCAGCCATGCCAAAAGATAGACCTCCCTCTGTCCCTCAGTGTTTGTCTCTGTTTTCCTCAGGCAGGTGTTAGCAAACTGTTTTATTTCTACCAATCTTATGTTGTTTCTTGTGTACCATTGAGTCAGAACCGACCCATAGCTGAACTCGAGCAAGTTTTCAGAGGCAATTTAATTGCACAGGAGGACATTGCCCATCCATATCCTATCCTGTGGTGCAACTGATGGAATTGAACCGTGTGCCTTGGAATTTCAGCACAGTTTCTTACTACTAGGCCACCCTACTCTGTGAGCAAGCACTCATCTAAAAGCTCTTGGCTCTTGGCTTTGTCTCCTGAAGATCTAAGTCCTTCAACAAGTGTCAGGAGGCTCCCACTTCACCAGCAGACACTTAGCTTCCTAGCTCTATCCCAAATAATCTTTCCTTTGAAAAAAAAATACTTATTTTTTTCTGTTGTGTGAACTTCATTATCATTCATCTTTGTCTCAAAAAAAGTTCTATTGGCATAATCTGATTTAAATGATATAATTCTCTCTAATAATTTAAAAGAATTGATTTCTTCCTGCCCAGGAGTATGACTTGATCAAATCACTGTTTGAATTTTTCTCTGATACATAGAAATAGATGTGTTTAATGTTGCAAGGAAGAAAAAACCCATCCTGTTTCTTACATCCTTGTGTCTTTTTCCAGGCAGTCTCAGCGTTGGTACAGCCGCTGGGAGTGTGTGCAGAGTACCTTAACTCCTCAGTGGTGCAGGTGAGATTCGGCCCCTTACATTAACTTCACAAAGCAATAAATAGCATCTTTTTTTTTCTTCCCTTCTTTTACCTGGTTCGGTATTATGGCTAGTCCAGAGTGAATTTCTAATTTTATATAACTTATAGATAAGTATTACTGTCCTTAAAATAAAAGTGTTAACCAGTGGATCAGAAAATGATGAATAATTTAAAGTATAGAAGACATTTAAGAGTTTACTAACCTTTTAAAATTATCAATTATCATATAATTTACATGATAGGATTTTTTCTTTAAAATGAGTATATATTATTATCTGCTCCATGTTGTTATTGTTGTTACGTGCCATCTAATCGCTTGCAACTCATAGCGACCCTGTGTACAACAGCCCTAAATTCTGCTCTGTCCTGTGCCAATCTCACTGTCTCTGACACATCCATCCCGATTACCTCAGTCACCGAATCAGTCCACCCCCTAGAGGGCCTTCCCCTCCTGTGCCTGCCCTCCACCCTCCCAAGCATGAATTCCTTCTATGAGATAGACATAAGTAATTTATGCTTATTTACTAAATGAGCTGTACCATGGGAGAAAGACCTGGCAGTCTGCTTCCATAAAGAGTAGAGCTAAGAATGTCCTACAGAGCAGCTTATGAGCTTGCCTTGAGTCACAGTTAACTGAATGGCAATGGTTTTGGTATATGTTTTCTCCCCCACCCCCCTCCAGTTGTGCTTTGGCTATTATGTGTTAAGTTACATTAATGTGTAGCAACTGGCCAGACTCACTGGCTCAGGCACTCACTTCTGTATCACAGCTTTACAGCACATTTCATGTGATTTCCTGCCTCTGCAAAATGTCAGTCACCTAGTCATGGAATAGTCAAAGCTGTGAAGGTTCAGTGTTCTGATGTTAAAGGCTCATTATATTTTCTTACTCTGTTTCCACCTGAATTAAGTTTTATTAAATAAAATGTTAAATTGAAATACTGTCATTTGTTATCTTTGCTATTAAATAAATCTGTGAAACTTAACAGTTTTTACAGATATTTTTTAAATAGCCATAAATGGTTTTGAAAGCATAAGATTATCTAGAAAAAAATGTTTTTGTATGCCCTATTTTTACTTTCCTGTGTCATATTTGTTAGCTCCATTTTAACAAGGAGGAGAAGAAGGTTTTATTAATTCTAAGTATTATTTTTCTTTAACATATCAAGGTTACTAACAGGATTTGTAAGTGAAACAGTAGTAACGGTTTACATAGTTCTTCTTTCAAAACATCTGGTATTCTACAACTTAACAAACATTCAGAGATAACCTATAACCTTTAGTTTTATAGCTAAAACTTGAAGGGGCAAGGTGATTTTATTGCTTGACATGTTTAGGAGCCCTTATTAACTGTAGCATTTCTTTTCTGTAGCCCATGCTAGACCCAGTCATTCTCAATACCATCGAAGATGTACGAAGTGTAGAGGAGAAGGACCTCAAAGACAAGGTAAGTATTGACTCCAACCAGACCAGTAAGTCTGTGGAAACAGACATGAGTCACGTTCAGGTACTATTCTTACTGGATTCTAGTTACTTTGTGGTATATTTCATGTTAAATTGTTAAATGTTTAACATCTTTTCTAATGTAAAAATACTTTTCCTGAAGCACTAGTCTTTGTGTTTTCTCAGTTAATAAGCATGAATATAGGATTCTTTATAAAAATGTTATTAGCATGTTAATTTTTATATTATTAGAATAAATATTGAACTGAAGAACCTTTTTAAAAACTTTTTATTGTAACTTGAGTGGAAGTTTACAGAGCAATTGATTTTTCATCCAACGATTTGTGCACAGTTTATTTTACAACATTAATTACAAACCTCACATTGTAACCATACTCTTTTCTCTTTCCGCCTGTGATTGCTCCTGTCCATTTGTCTACCCTATCTCTTCTTGCCTTCTGAGCTTTATTCCTTTGTTTCATGATTGAGTAGCCTAAGATTGAGTGCCTCTCTCGGGTGTGATTGTTCACGCTATAGACATTTCTGTTGTTCTGTTGTTTAACTTAAAGTTGAGTCCCAGGAGTAAGTTTAGTTCTGGACTCAAAGGGTGATTATGGGCTATGTTCTCAGAGGCCCCACTGGTCTCTTATTGGCCCACATGCTTGGTCATGTATATTCATTTATGAATTTTATTCCAGATTTTTGCTCACTTTGTTCAAGACCTTCTAGTTTGATGCAGTTAGCAATAGTAGCTAGACATCGTCTAGTTCTTTTGGTCTCAGGGTTGTGAAGGTTGAGATGTGTGTGGTGGTTCATTAATAGTCCATTGGTCTAATGGGTTTTGTTGCTCATTGCTTCAACGTCTTTACTCATTTTTTTTCTGAACAAGGAGAGACCAATAAGTAGTTGCACCTTACAAGGCTATCATAAGAATTTAAGACCCCAGTTGCCACTTCCTAAAGGAAGATTTGCACCATTGTCTTTGTGGACTATGTTAAGCCAGTTGACTTTTGTGTCTCTCAGTACTGTGGCCCTGAGGCCAAAGGACCAGCATCTCATTCCCTCAGAGAATTTGATTATAATGAACAAAGCTAACACAACTACGTCCAGTTGGTGCTTTGGGATATAAAAGCATATACTAATGAAGGTAGAAAATATCATCTGCCAAATCTCTTGTGAGTGTAGTTTATTTTTTTTCTTTTCTATCTGCTTATGTCAAATGTATCATCCAGGAAGAGTGCAGACGGTCATTACAAAGACAGAAGAGGAAGAAAAGACCAAAATGGATGTCAGAAGAAACTCTGAAGATTGCACTGGAATGTAGAGAAGCCAAAGGACAAGGAAGAATTCAAGGTACTAAAGAGCTGAACAGAAGATTCCAAAAAGCAGCACGGAATAATAAAATATTACAATGAAATGTGCGAGGAGCTAGAGTTGGAAAATCAAAAGGGCCGAACTCATTCAGCATTTCTTAAGCTCAAGAAACTGAAGAACAAATTCAAACCCAGAGTTGCTATAATCAAGGATGCATTAGGCAGAATATTAAATGATCCAGGAAGTATTAAAAGAAGATGGAAGGAATATACTGAGTCATTGTATCGAAAGGAATTGGCAGATACAGAAGAATTTAATGAAATAACATTTGAGCAAGAGCCTATGATGATGAAGGAAGAAGTTCAAGCTGCTTTGAAGGAAATAGCAAAAAATAAGGCCCCAGGAATAGATGGCATACCAATAGACATATTTCAGCTAACAGATGCTGCCCTGGATGTGCTCACCAAGTTGTGTCAAGAAATCTGGAGAACAACCACTTGGCCCATTGACTGGAAGAGATCTGTATTTGTTCTCATTCCAAAGAAGGGTGACCCAACAGAGTGTGGAAACTACAGAACAATATCATTGATTTCACACGCAAGCAAGATTCTACTGAAGATTATCCAAGGACAACTGAAACTGCACATCAGCAGAGAATTGCCAGAAGTCCAGGCTGGGTTTAGAAGGGGTCTAGGTACTAGGGATATTGTAGCTGATGTTAGATGGATCTTAGCTGAAAGCAGGGAATACCAGAAGAATGTCTATCTGTGTTTCATTGATTATGCAAAGGCGTTCGACTTTGTGGGTCATAACAAACTGTGGCTGACTCTGAGAAGAATGGGAATCCCAGAACATTTAATTGTGCTAATGCGAAACCTATACTTGGACCAAGAGGCAGTTGTCAGAACAGAGCAGGGTAACATTGCATGGTTCAAAATTGGGAAGGGTGTACGCCAGGGATGTGTCCTGTCTCCATATCTCTTCAACCTGTATGCAGAGCAGATTATCCGAGAGGCTGGGCTCTATGAGGAGAATTGTGGCATCAGGATTGGTGGAAGATCTATTAACAATCTGCGATATGCAGATGATATAACCCTGCTTGCTGAAACTGAGGAGGACCTGAAGCGCTTGCTGCAGAGGGTCAAGGACTGCAGCCTTCAGTATGTACTGAGGCTTAATGTCAAAAAGACAAAGATTCTCACCACTGGACCAATTGGCAGCATCAGGATGGATGGCGAAGAGATTGAGATTGTTCACGCCTTCAGTTTGCTCAACTCCATGGTCAACACTCTTGGCACCAGCAGCCAGGAAATAGAAAACGTATTGCGATGGGAAAGTCTGCTGTTAGGGACCTCTCTAAAGTACTCAAGAGCAACGGTGTCTCTCTGGAGACTAAGGTCCGCCTGATACAGGCCATGGTCTTTGCAATCACTCGTTATGCATCAGAGAGTTGGACAGTGACTAGGGAGGACAGAAGGAGATTTGAAGCCTTTGAGCTGTGGTGCTGGAGAAGAGTATTGAATGTACCATGGACTGCCAAGAAAACAAACAGATTCATCCTGGAGAGGGTTAAGCCAGGCCACTCCTTGGAGACAAGGATTCTGGGGCTTTGTCTGACATACTTTGGACATGTTGTAAGGAGGGACAGGTCCTTGGAGAGGGACATCATGCTTGGTAGGGTGGAGGGACAGCACAGGAGCGGAAGACCCTCTATGAGGTGGATTGATTCAGTGACTGGGGTAATTGGGATGGGAGTGTCAGAGACAGTGCGATTGGCACAGGACAGAGCAGGGTTTAGGGCTGTTGTACATAGGGTCGCTATGAGTCGCAAACGACTCGATGGCACATAACAACAAACAACAACAACATCTGTTTATGTATCCAGTTATAAACTAATATTTGTTATTGTTGAAAAAGGAGTACTGTGTATGCAGTACTGTTTACCTTTACTATCAGTAGCTCTTGTGCGTGTCTCAATGTCCTCCCTTTTTTGAGTGATGCTGTGCTCATGTTATGTGTTGCCTTTCTCGTTGCCCATCTAAATAGGTGTCTGTAGCCTAGTTACTGAGTTTACCTCCTTTATCCCTCCCCTTTCATCCTTGTTAGCCATCAGACAGTGTCTCTTTCTGCATGTTAACATTTACCTAGTTTATTATAATAATGGAATGACAGTCTTTGTCGTTTTGCGGCTGACTTGCTTCACACAGCTTTATGTCCTCCAGATTCATCTATGCTATGTGGGGTTCATTGTTCTTTAATACTCATGAAAAATTTCATGAATGCTATGTACCATTCGTTGTGGAGGTACCATAGTTTGTTTATCCATTCATTCATCCACTGATGGATATTTAGACTTTTTCTGTCTCTTTGTTACTGTAAATGATGCTGTAGTGATCCCAGGTACACATACATGGTTCATGCCCCAGCTTTTATTTCTTTAGCCTGTATAGCTAGGATAAGGTTGCTGGATCAAATGGCATTTCTATTTTCAACTTTGCAAATAAATGCCATATTGTATTGCACAGTGCTTGCATCATTTTACTGTCCCAACAGTAGGATATGAGAATTCCAATTTCACCACATCCTCAATAGATCAATTTATTGTTTAGAATCAAAGAAATGTAATTAAGACATGAGTTAATCTAAAAGTTAATCCGAATTGTTTCAAGCACTTCAGTATACAAATTTAATGTGTTTTGTTTTGTCAACTTTGAATTTCTCACAAGACCCTCCTCATTCTTTGACTGCTCACCCTATATGCTAACTTTGGTGGTTGTTGTTGTTGTTGTTAAGTGCTATCGAGTCGCAGGTGACTCATAGCGACCCTATGAAGGAGAGTCCTTGATGCTTGGGTGCCTTTCATCCTCTCTCCAGGTTCATAGGGTTTCCACAGGCAAGCTATTACGGAAGTGGATGCCACTCCTCCTTCCAACTTTGCTTAGAAATGAAATTAATTGCCATATAGAATATGAAATACCACTAGACCATGATTATGATTATTATTATCATCATTATTCAAATTGCTTTATTTTGTACCTTATTTCCTTTGTGCATTGAAAGAATTGAGATCAAGATATTCTTTTCTTTCTTTTTTCTTTAAATTAAAAGAGATTGGTTAGCATCCCTGAGCTCCTGTCCGCCATTAAGTTACTTTGCATGCGCTTCCAGCCGGATCTCGTCACCGTTGTGGATGACCTGAGACTAGACATCCTCTTGCGCATGCTGAAATCACCACATTTTAGTGCTAAAATGAATTCTCTCAAGGAGGTGAGCTTCGTATTTGTTTCTACAATAAAGCCTTAAAGCCCACACTTTCTTTTCTACCAAAAGTTATGGTTATTAATATAAAGTGAAAGTTGATATTTTGTTTGTTAGGAAGCTTCCAGTTACTTACTATAGCTTCTTCACAGTCTACTGTTTTATCTTTTATTGGTATGAAAATGATAAACCATCTTTAGGTTTCATACATGGAATGTTTAGTGTTTTTATGAAATTCTGTAGAAAGTAATCTTTTAGAAATGGGTGGTGGTTCAATAATAGGATTCTCACCTTCCATGCAGGAGTCTCAGGTTTGATTCCTACCAGCACACATAACATCTCCTATTCATCTATCAGTGAAGGCTTATGTGTTGCTGTGAGGCTGAACAGGTTTTAACAGAGTTTCAGCCCAAGACTAGAAAGAAAAACTTGGCAATTTACTTTCAAATTCCAGTAAAAACTATGTATGTTGATCAAGTCTTGTGCAGGGGATTGCAGGTTGGAGTTCAACTTGCTAGTCTCTAATAACGGAAATCTTTTGGAATATGTTGTTTGGGGTTTGCTTTTTTACCTCTTACAGCTCTTTCTATTTTCATTGAGATTAATTGAGATTGATGCTTTCTTAAATGAAATATTCTTGGGGTTATGGCAGAAACAAAATGACAGTATCTGTGATGGTCTATACAAAATAATAGAAAAAATAGCTACAGCCTCCTCGATTTTGTGTGAATCCATATAAGCAGCTAAATAATGGTAAATGAGAAGTAGAAGCAGTACAAACTGAACCAAACCCACTGCCAAGTCAGTTCCAACTCATAGCAGCTCCATCCTGTAGGACAGAGGAAAATCATTCCTTAGGGTTTCTTCCAAGACCATACATCCTTATGGATGTTGACGCTCACATCTCACTCCCAGGGAGCTTCTGGTGGGTTCAAACTGCTGGCTTTTGTTTATCAGCCAAATGCCTAAATCACAGCATTACTGGAATTCTTTGGAACCAGTATAATTGTGTATAAGCCTAGGTACTTTTCCTTCAGGTTTTAAAAAAAAAAAAACAAACGTTAACTAGAATTTTTTCCCTTTAAATAAAATAAGGTATTTTTAGCCATCTTAGGCCAAAAGCATAATTTATTAGGAGCCTGGGCTACTTTATGTCAAAGAAGGTTGAAAAGCCAAACGCTGGAGGGGCAGAAACTCGTGGCCGCCAAAACCAGTAGACTCTGTGATGTGGCTATTGCCAGGATTCCATTAAATATTAAATATTATCTCTGCTGTCCCGAGCATGTGGCCCTGTTTTTGCTCCACCTAAAGAGTTGTTTCATCAAGATCACAGCCTTTGATAGCTAGCTCCCCAGTTTGACGCCAGTCAGTCCTTGTCACTAAAGATATTTTGTCGGATCCCAAGTTCAAAATTTGGAAGGAGTACCTTGACCGAACCCAAGACGTCTGCTTCTCTCTGAGTCAGTTAACATTGCTGACACAGTGAGAGCAGTAAGAACTTGAGTCCATGCTCTCTTTATAATAGTGCTAACATCTGATAACTATCTTGTGATACATTTTAGCTGATCATCTGACCACAGTTTAGCAGTATAAAAGTCACAACTTGTGTGTGTGAAAATTTTGATTATATATAATTGTATTAGTTTCAGTCACAGTAATCTTTCTTTTTAGGTAACCAAATTAATTGAAGACAGCACTTTATCCAAATCTGTGAAGAATGCCATAGACACAGACAGGTTATTGGATTGGCTAGTAGAAAACTCAGTTCTATCAATTGCATTAGAGGGTAAGTGGGTTTTTTAAAAAAAAATTATATACATATATTAATCTGTAAAACACGATTATATGAACATATGATTATAAATCATGTTTGTATAAAAAAGGTATAGAATTATATTTGTGTTGGTCTTTGTGTTAGTCTTTAAATAGTCTTTACAGCAAGTTAATGTTGCTTTGAATTAGTAGAATAGTATGTAGAAGAGACAGTGTTTATTTCATCTGTATTCCCCTCTGCTGTTTCTTCCATTAGGTAACATAGACCAGGCACAGTATTGTGATCGTATAAAAGGAATTATTGAACTCTTGGGTAGTAAATTATCTTTAGATGAGCTCACTAAAATTTGGAAGATCCAGGTAAGTTGATG